CCCCCCCCCAAGGCCCCCCCCCCCCCAAATCTGGGGGTCCCACCTCAGCCCCCGGGGGGGGCTCGGCCGCCGCCTCCTTGAGCAGGTTGGGGATGACGTCGTTGGCCACGTCAAAGAATTCCTTGTAGATCTCCTCGTCCTCACGGCAGTAATTGTAGCTGGGGAGGGGGACAGGGGGGGCTTGGGGGGTGCCCCACAGCCACGGGGATCCCTGAAGAGGACACAGAGCCCACAAAGGACAGGGGGACCCCAAGAATCCAAACCTGGGTGGGAGGCACAGGCCACCCCCAGCCACAAGGGACATATGGACCCCCCCAAAAAGGGGGGCTAATGACCCCCAAGTCACTGAACACCCCCCCGACCCCACAGGGGGGAGAAAGCTCCCCCCAGCCCAGGCCAGGGGGTGGAGCAGGACCCCACAGGTAACCCAAGGACCTCCCAGGTACCACTGGGACCCTCCCAGGACCCCAAATTCCGCCCCTGGAGCCCCCCACTCACTCCTGGATGACGGTGGCCGTGTCAGCCCAGGCCTCCAGGGCCTCCTTGACGTTCTTGTTGCGGCAGTGGAAGCCGGCCAGGTACAGGTAGGGGTAGATGTGCTCGTTGTTGTAGTAGGTGCGGGCAGAGTGGATGCCCTGGGGGCGGTGGGGAGGGGTCAGGACACACCTGGGCTCACCTGGCCACACCCCGGAGTCCCCAAAGCCACCCCCTATCATCACCTGGTGGTACAGGGTGAGGGGGTCGGGTCTGCCGGGGGTGGGCTCCAGCTCCTCCAGGTCAGCCAGGTTCCCCAGCGCCATGGGGTACCTGTGGGGCAGGTGGGGGGCGGCCCCACGCCGGGTTGGGGGGGCCCCAGAGCAGCTTGGGGGGCAGCCCCATGGTGGGTCGGGGGTCCCTCTCACCTGTCCAGGTGCCCCATGTCGTAGAGCAGCCACAGCAGGCGCTGGGGAGAAGAGGAAGGAGAGATGTGGGGGTGGCCCTCACCTGCCCCACACCTGGCACAGCCCCGCCCCACACCTGGCACAGCCCCACCCCACACCTGCCCCACACCTGCTGCAGCTGCAGCAGCTCCAGGCTGTCGGTGTGGCCATCGATGGACGGGTTGATGGCGCACACCATGAAGGCCACCTCCATGTGCCGTGTGCAGCGCAGGTACGAGCCCTTCAGGTACAGCCAGCTCTAGGGACAGGTGACACAGGTGACACAGGTGACATGGGGATGTATCCACCTGTACCCCCTGCCCAGGTACAGCTCTGGGGACAGGTGACACAGGTGACACAGGTGACATGGGGACAGGTCCACCTGTGTCCCCATCTGCCCAGCACCTCCTGGAACCCCCCTGTCCCCCATCCTTGTCCTTGTGGGGACCCCCTGTCCTTGTACCCCCATCCCCTGCATCCTCTCAGCCCCCCCTGTGTCCCCACCATCCCCATGACCCCTCCCATGTCCCCCCTGTCCCTCTGACCCCCCCCCCCAACCCCCATGTCCCCCGTACCCTCTCGGCCACCCCGGCCTGCACGGGCTGTCCCCTCCTGTCCTCGTTGCCCTTCCCGTGCCAGGTGACCTCGGCAGTCTGGGACCCCCCGGCCCCAAAGGCCACCCAGGCGTGGTCCTCGCTCAGGGCCAGGTGCACGTCCGGCAGCCCCAGCACCTGGCAGGCCCCCACCACGGCAAAGGCCACACCTGAGCTGTCCAGCTTCGTACCTGGGGGGACACAGGGGGGGGTCAGGGACGCACAGACCCCCCCCAAACTGTCCCCAAGCAGAAATGAGACCCCCCAACAGTGACAAAGCTGAAGGAGGGCACAACGCCCACCAGACCCTCGAAGCAGGAGCAGCTGAGGCTGCTCCAGGTGGGACCCCAGCCCCACCAACCCCCCCTCCCTCAGGACCCCTCCTCACCCGTGATGAAGCTGAAGAGGGACTGGATGTGAGCCCGGTCCTTGAAGTAGGAGCGGCTGAGGCTGTTCCAGATGACATCGGACACTTTCCGGACCAGCTCCCGGGAGGAGCAGCCGTCGGGCCGGGGGTACAGGGACAGATCCACGGCCCCCCGGATCTGCGCCGTGAAACGGGCGTAGAGCGCGGCCACGATGGACAGCTCGGCCACCGGGAAGTACAGGCGGGTCTGGGGGTCCGGCCCGGGCCGCGACTCGAAGGTGAGCCCGGGGACGTTGGTGGGGAGGACACGGTTGACGGCCAGGAAATGTTCCACAAAGCCCAGCACCAGCGAGAGCAGCACCAGGTCGGGCTCGGGCTGCCGCAGCTCGGCCTCAAAGAGCCGCACCACGGCGGCCACGGAGCGGAGCGGGAACAGCGCCTTCTGCCAGGGCTTCAGCCCCATGGTGGGGCCTGGGGGGGAGGCGGGGGTCAGGGGGGTTAAAGGAGTTATGGGGGGCTCGGGGGATGGAAGAACTGCCCACAGAGAGCAGCGTTTTCTGCCAGGGTTTCAGCCCCACCGTGGGGAAACGGGGAGGAATAGTGGTGGGGGTCCCAAGGGAAAATGGGGAGGGGGTTATAGGGGGGATTCACAGGGGAAAAATGGGGGTTACAGAGGGGGGTCCCGGAGCGCCACAGAGCGAGGGGGGGAACGGCAGCGTCTGGCGGGGCCCAAACCCATGGGGGGAACTGGGGGCAAATGAGGATTTGGGGCCCCGGGGGGGTACAGGAGCAGGGGCGGGTGTGGGGCCGGGGGTGCTACAGGGACAGAGAGGGGGTCAAGGCCTGCGGGGCTGTGAGGGGGATTGGGGGAAGCCCCGCGGCTGAGGCGGCCGGGACGGACCCGCCCCTTCCCGGAACCCCCAAAGCCGCGGAAACGCTCAGGGACCACCCGAGACCCTCCCCCCGAAACCCCGCCGTGCCGGGGCCCGCCCAGGAGCCCCAGACCCTCCTTCAGACCCGGCCCTGACCCCTCCAAAGCGCTCCCGGTCCCGGGACCCCCGCCCGCCCCTCACCGCAGCCGCCGCCGCCGGCGCGGGCAGCGCGGGGCACGACGGGAGTGGGCGGGGCCTGCGCGCGTCGCCGGCCGCGATTGGACGAGAGGTGAGGGTGTGGCTTTGTGGGCGTGGCCTTTGTGGGCGTGGTAATGAGGGGGCGTGGTTTGTTTGGTGGGCGTGGTCCCGAGTTCCTCCCTAATCCACTCGGTTTCACCCCCCAAATCCCTCCGATTTCACCCCAAAATGTCTCTCGATTTCACCCCAAAACCCCCCCGATTTCACCCCAAAATGCCCCCTGACTTCACCCCCACATGCCTCTCGATTTCACCCCCCAAGTTTCCCCCGATTTCACTCCCAAATCCCCCCGATTTCACCCCGAATCTCCCCACGTCCCCCCCGAATCCTGCCCCAAGTACCCCGAACTGCCCCAAATCCCCCCTCTCACCCCCCAAGTTCCCCCCAAACCCCCTCCCTATCCCCCCAGATACTCCCAAATGCCCAAATCTCCAAAATCCCACCCCAAAATCCCCTCCAGCCCCCACCATCCAGGCAGCGGCGCTGGGGCCGTTCCCCCACATCCTTTATTTGGGGTTCGGGGGGATCCCGGGGGGGTCCCGGGGGGGTCCCGGGGGGGGCGGTTCAGCGGCGCTGGGGCAGGCAGAGCCCCCCAGGCCGAGCCCGGCTGGTCCCGGATTTGCAGACGCAGCGGAAGGAGCCGCTCGTGTTGATGCAGCGCTCGCGGGGGCAGCGGGGACCCCCCCGGGGGTCGCGACACTCGTCGATATCTGGGGTGGGTGGGACACAGCTCAGAGGCGCCCAAAATAACCCCAACAATCCCCCGATGGAACCCCCAAAAATATCCTCTGGGACCCCCAAACCCCCCACCCACAAAGCCCCGGCACTCACTGATGTCTGCGGGCATCGGGGACCCCCCCAGACCACCCCCCCCCACAATATTTAGGAGACTCAGGAGTAAGGGGGGCCCTGACCCCCTCCCCACCTCCCACCGCTGGGTGCCAGGGGGGTTTGGGGGTCACTCGGGGGGTCCCCATTTTCTGGGAGAGGGGTCTCACCGAGGCAGCGGGTGCGGGTGGGGTCCGGTTGAAAGCCGGGGGGGCACTCGCAGCCCCCCCGGGGGGAGCGGAGGCAGCGGCCGGGGACCCCCCCGGGACAGGGACACTCGGCAGAGTCTTCCTCGGAGCTGTCGTCACCTGGGGGGGGACACGGGGGGGCTGGGGGGACCCTCGGAGGGGGTCACAGGGGGTCCCAGCTCCAAGGGGGGCAAGGGGACCCGGTTTGAGGGGGTTTAGGGTCAGGCTTGGGGTCCTAAAGCGAGGGGGGGGGACACCAAGGGTTGGAGGGGCACAAGGTCATGGTTTGGGGTCTCCAAAATGGGGGGTCTCTGTTCTGAATTTGGGGGAGTCTCGGGGTGGGATCCGAGGGAGTTTGGGAGTCCTGGGGAGGGGTTGAGGGTGCGGGTTTTGGGGTCCCACCTCTGTGGGGCCCCCCCAGGCCGAGGGGGCTGACGTCCCAGAAGGAATTGCTCTCGCTCTGCAAGGGGGGGCACGGCAGGCCTGGGGGGACCCCCATGTCAGCCCCGGGACCCTCAGCAGCTTCTCCAGATCCCATAGACCCCCCCAGATCCCACAGGGACCCACCCAAATCCCCCCCATCCCCCCCAGAAACCCCAAATCTCTCCCCTAGGACCCTGCAGACACCCCAAATCCCCTTCAGACACCCCCAAATCCCCTTCAGACACCCCAAATCCCCTTCAGACACCCC